AGTTTAAAAGTGGTTTAAAAAATTATAAAAAGACAATTGCCTCCGTCATCTTTGACAGTGTACAAGTTAGAATTCAGGTGATAGGTAGTGAAAACTGGAGAACTGGTAGTGAAAAACGGCAACGGTGTGTAGCTAATTGACTTAACTGTGCAAAATAATTAGTAATTGGTGAAGTTTTACGGCGAATTAAATATAAAAAAGGGTGCTGCGAATATTGTTACAGTATAAAGTGTAGGCTCTGATATAAAAAAATCATTTATCTTGCAAAAAAAGTGTTAACAAACGTGTAATTGTTTACATTTTTTGGTGTTCCTTTGGTTCAAGGTTGCCAGACTTCCTAGCCGAAATCGAATAATACTGTTCTAGCAATGCCTGAAATAGAAATTTGCGACATATGCAATAAAGCGGTCGGTGAAAATGAAGACGGTTTCCTGTGTGATAAATGTCTTGTATGGAAACATAGACAGTGCCTCTCTATAGGACTGAAACTTTTTCAGAAGCTAAATAAATCGACGCAAGAGTGGTATTGCAGCAGCTGTGAAAAAAAAAGTAAGAAACCAGAGCCAAAGGCGTCTAATTACACAATTGATGACGTCATTGATGAGAGCATGGAGAAGAGATACGACATCCTTTTCCAGCGATATGAAGAGCAAGTCAAGCTAAACGATGAACTAAAACTGGAAATTAGTGATATAAAAGACCAGTTAAATAAGAAGGACCAAAGGGAGCTCGCCAATAACATTATTGTTTATGGAGTCCCATATAAAACCACAGAAAATCTAGAACAACTGGTTAAAGGAATTGGAAGTGAGCTGCAAGTAGAGCTGGATGGCAATTTTACTGCCTTCAGAATTGGAACGAAGGAAGATGGAAGGAAGACACCTATCAAGATAACCTTTAAGGAGGAGGATATTAAGAGAAGACTTATGAAATCTCCAAGAAGGTATAATTTGAATACCTTAGCGTTGGGATTTGTTACTGATCATAAGGTATATTTGAACCATGACCTAACCAAACATAATCTAGATTTGTTCAAAAAGTCACAAGTATTTAGAAAGGAAAATGACTATAAATATCTTTGGTTTGGAAATGGGTCAATTTTCCTAAAGAAAAATGAAGGTAGTAGGGCTTTGGTAGTTCGTAAGGAATCCGATCTAAAAAACTAAATGAAAGAAAGCTGAGTTTGATCTACTTAAATATACAGAGTTTACGAAATAAGTTTGATGAGATTCAATGTTATGCTAAAGAGTGTAGTGCTGATATTTTGATGTTTGTAGAAACTTGGCTTTCTTACGAGGAAACCCATTTATTTGAGTTAGATGGGTACAAATCAGTAGACTCGTGCAGAGAAAAAAGAGGGGGCGGTGCTACTATATATGTAAAAAATTGCTTAGATTTTAAGGTACAGCAGAAATTTGAAAAAAATGATAATTTTAGTTGGGTATGTATCCAAATTGGTCAAACAAATTTAAATATTAGTTTAGTGTATAGGCCACCATCATATCCATAATATGATGAGGCATTGAGCAAATTCGAAAATATCATGAGGTGTTATCCAAATAATCATGTTATTGTGGGTGATATTAATTTAGATTTGTTAGATAATGCTAGTAGGGAAATAATTAACTACAGGAATATGTTAACCCTAAATAATTTTCACATAAAGAACAAAATAAATATTCTAAATGCCACAAGAATTACCTGCAATACTAGTAAGCTGATAGATCATGTCTTGACTGATCTTAATTGCAAAGTGGGGCGTGCAGTTGAAGTCGAACCCAATGCGCTATCTGATCATGAAAAACTAATTATTTATTTAGATGAGAAGGTGAAGCCTGCTAATGTCAAAACTACGCGTACATTAAAGGGAATAAACCATGAAAAATTTAGAAGATCATTTGAACAACAAATAAACGGGGTGGATATTAGCTCCTTCCAACAACTTATCAACATCATACATTCTAGTAAGGCTACAGCCGAATACCAACGGGAAATTAAATGTATAAATAATAATGTCTGGGTTACAGGAGAGCTTATAGATTTAATCAAAGAGCGGGATCGATTGTATAAAGGTATGCGAAGAAATGGTAATAATGGGGAAATAGTCAATCAGTTTCGAAATATAAAAAATAGGATCACTAATAAAATAAAATCACTAAAAAATATGCATTTTAGAAAAAAATGGAACGGCGCCGGTTCAGACACAAAAAAACAATGGTCAGTGATAAATAATTTATTGAATCGAAAAAAGGTAAATATAAACATGATCAAAGAGCTAAATGTAAACAATAATATAGTGGTAGATTCTCAGGAAATAGCAAACTGTCTAAATCATCATTTTGCAAGTATAGGTAAATGTATTGTCGATGAGGTTCACGAGGAAATTCAAGGCTTAAGTGATATTGATAATGATTTGAAATTTGATGAAATTGGATGCGCAAATAGTTTATACTTAGAAGTAGTTACTGATGAGGAAATATTAAATGTCGTGAATGGTTTAAAGCGCAGTTCTGCTCCTGGAGAGGATCAGGTTACAGTTAATGATCTTCGCTATTTGGGTTTAGGTTTAATTGTAATTCTTACAAAATTGGTTAACAATGTGTTTGTGTCTGGCATTTTTCCAGATGAGCTAAAATTTAGTAGGATTGTGCCTATTTTTAAATCAGGTTCTCAGGATTCCATGGGCAATTATAGACCTATCAGTCTGATAAGTACTTTTTCAAAGGTAGTAGAACAGGTACTAAAAACTCGAATGCTAGGCTTTATAAATAAATATGTACAGATGGATAAATTTCAGTATGGGTTTTTGAAAAATAGTAATACGCTAAGTGCTACAATGGATTTTGTAAACGAAATAAGTAATCAATTAGAAAATAAAAAAATGGTAGTTGCTGTCTTCATTGACCTAAAAAAGGCTTTTGATGTAGTTAGTTGGGATGTACTTTTGGGAAAATTACAAAATATGGGCTTGAGAGGACTTGTATATAATATTCTAAAATCTTATTTATATGATAGGCGGCAGGCAGTGAATGTTGATCAGTTAGTTAGTACCACTGAGATGAGTGAGTGTGGGGTGCCACAAGGTTCTGTCCTTAAGCCACTGTTGTACTCGCTTCATGTACTCAGTCTTAGAAGGGCTGGTCTGACTGGTAGATATTTTACATTCGCAGACGACACAGCTCTGGTGTATGGTCATGGGGACCTTGAGGACCTGGAGCGCGCTGTGAATTCAGATCTTGAAACATATTCGAAGTGGTTATTATGCAATAAGCTGAGGATCAATATTTCAAAAACAAATTTCATATTTTTTAAACAAAAGAATAAAATATCTAGAGACCCAGTTATAATAGTAAATAATATTCCAATTGAAAAAGTAACACGGACTAAATACTTGGGGCTGATTATAGATGAAAATTTGAATTGGAGGGATCACATAATGCATATAACTGGTAAAATCGTTCCAATGCTAGGCGCTGTATATAGAGTTCGAGACTATTTGACACATAGAAGCAGGATGTATATTTACAATTCATTCTTCCTGTCGCATTTTAGGTACCTACTCCCCATATGGGGTTCATGTGGTCAGGTGGATTTTAATAGAATGCAGGTATTGCACAATAAGGTATTAAAGGTGTTGTTTAAACTTGATTGGCGTACACACACTCAGGAGCTGCATGAGAGTCTGGGCGTATTAATGTTGAAAAAATTACTTATACTTGAACAGAGTAAATACATGTTTAAAGTGAGCAATAGAATTCAGAAGTCTAATGTGAGAATTGTTCTTTCGGAAAATATATAGGACTCAACATGATATCTATTGGGATAATAATGTCAGGACTAATAAAGGTTTGCTCAATCCAATGTATCGGGCAGCAATCACATTTAATGGCTTGCCCTTTGAATATAAAACTACAGGAAGGAGCGTTGTCTATCTGTCACTGCAAACAAAAAAGCGACGGAAGCCGCCATTTTGAGCCTCCAAGTTTGGACTCATCATTTGTTTTGGTGGTTCCCTGTGTCCTCATTTAAGTGGATGTTTAATGGATTTTAGCGGTTTTAAGTGATGATAAGTACTGGAATTAGTGAGAAAAGAGTGAGTCATAATATTGACAATCATATTTAAATAAATATACGCTACTGCCAAACCGGAAATACTAGTCGGCCATATGCAACCTCCACATATTTTGGTCGCGCAGATTCGAAGTTATGCTCCTTCCTGTAGTTTTATATTCAAAGGGCTTGCCAGATACGATTAAACATGCGAGCTCAGTTAATAATTTCTCAAACAGTATGCTAAATTACCTGGTTGAATAAGTAGAACATAATATGTCTTTTGCTGCACATGGGTTTTAGGGGTGACCTCAATAATTTTAGGGGTGAGGTTATTATTATTATTTATTATTTTATAATTATTTTTAGTTTTTTTTCTCCTTTTTTGTTTTGTTTTCTCTGTTGTTAATGGTTATATTATATAAGTATTATGTTTTTATTTTATATTTTTATTTTGTAATGAATATGCTATAAGTTATAATTTAATTGAAGTTAGGTACACATCATATTTGTTATGTATCCTTAGCACCAGTGCAATTAGCACTGTTTTTAGGATTTGTACTTGTTAAGTTTATTATTGAAACTTGAAATAAATAAAGAATTGTTTGAAAAAAAAAAGGTAGGTAATTTATCTCTGGTAGGTAATTAAAGGTACGTAGGTACCTATGTAGGTAGAGTGTGCGGTAAAATTGTAAAATTGTGTAATATACCTTAGTTACTGCATGCTTGTAGATAAAATTACATTAGCAAAAAAATTACAACAGGTAGGTCACTCTTCACAACTCAAATTCATCCAATGGATAAAAAGCATTGGTAATTGAGATAGTTTTTATTTTTCCTTTAAATTGTTTTAGCGGAAGATCTCTAAGAGCATTGGGAAATTTGTTAGAATATTTTACAGGCCAATGAACAAGTAAATTTTCAGAATAACTATAGCCTATTTAACTTACATGCGGATCTTTGGAGGACTTGAAAGGGCACAAATGTGTTCTATTGTTTACTATTGCCGAAACAAAAACAAAAAGACTCTAATAACTTTCATTTGCCTCACTATCAACAACTATTATAATATTATTTACCATAGTTGATTGCAAATTTTTAAATAACTAATTTTCTCTTTTTCAAAAATTAAAATTACTTAAAAATTGAAAATTATAATTTTTTTTATTTTGGACAAAATAACAACAAACATCAAAAAATCAAATTCCCAGATGTGAATTCTACGATTTTGCGCGGTGCCGTGCGATTTCAGGTTGTTTCGGTTGGATCGTTGGTTGCACCTGGGCCGGTATTCTCGTTCTCGAAAACGTTCACCGCTTTTCAGTCGCTCGGCACTTCTAATGTAAATTTACATTAGAAAAGCCGAGTGATTAAAAAGCGGTGAGCGTTTTCGAAAACGAGACGAGAATACCGGCCCTGAACAACAAATTCGAACTCGAACTGCATTAGGTGCACTCAGCACTGGTCCTCTTCGGGAGTAACTTCCAAGGAGCAAACAGATGATCGCTAGCTTCGACATTTAAACCGAGTTTTCGCGACGAATTACTTCCATGATTTGAGGAACACAAACGCTTTCGCGATAAACTCATGACGTCATATTGAACTTTAGTGCGTTGGTAATTAGGCACTACCAGAATTGAACTTTTGTATCGGGCACGCTTAATTTCACTTCTAGAATCGTGTTATTTTCTACCCACAAAACTAATGCACAATGTCTAATCAGTAGGAATATTTGTAAATAATGGAACAACATCCAAAAATATAAATCGGTAACTATATTTTTGGGACCGGTTTAACAGTGAACGGAACGGTTATTAAGTCTAGCTGACGTTCAAAGTAATCATATTTATTAGTTAATCTACGTCGGTGTCATTATGACACATTTAGCATTGTCATTTGAATGTCATTAGGTCCTTCATAATAGCACTAGTGCGTTTAAGAATTCATAATAACACCCAAATTTTGAAATGAAAAATATACAAAAAGAAAGTTAGTTGCCAGAAGAACCTTTTCAATAATGCTGTCTCTATATTCGAAGAGACACTTTCGAACTCAGATTCACCAATAATAACATTATTTTCCACCATAAAATTGAATTTATGGCACAAAAATGGACTCCAATATTGAAGCTGCCAAAGTCAAAATTCTAAAAACCAACAAGCAGGTTCTCGACTTGTACGGGCACCTGCTAAATTTCAAATTTTAATTTGAAAAGTTTTTGCTATTTCAAGGCAAATCAAATCTATTTGAACCATTGTAGATTAAATTTTGAATGATACACGTTCGATATGAACTTTATTAATGAAACTTGTGTAACTAAACCACTCGGCTAACGCCTCGTGGTTTAACGTTACACGCGTTTCATTATGGCGTTCATATCGAACTTGTATCATTAATAACTATAACCGACAGCTAAACCACAGCGCTAAACTAAATAATTGTACATACTAGGGTGTCAAGTTGTAAAGTACCACCCTCTGTAACTTTTTTATTTTTGATTGTACATTAAAAAGTTACAGGGGGTGGTACTCTATAACTTGACACCCGGTACCCCGCCGAAACGATAACTTGTTAGGGACCAAAAAGAAGAGAGGGAATAATGTTAAAATTTAGTGGGTGAAGCTCAGCTCTTCACTGGCGCCGACTACATGGGGGCATCGGGGCAGGTGCACCCATGGGAACCCTCGTGGGAAATACAGAAGTATATACAAACGTTTTTAATGGTCATTCCCTTCCATGTGGTAATATCCAGAATCATGTAATTTTAAATGTACACAACTTTGTATAAGAATTATACAAGTATGGTGTGTGTGTGGTATTCTGTCCATCTGTTCTTCCGTTATTTGTGGTCAGTTCTATGCTCTACTACAGCTCCGTTAAGCTGGCCCCCCCGAATTGATTTTCATTACCAAAATGCTGGCACAGGTAAAACATAGCTAGCACACCAATTTTTAACGCTAGCACACCCATAGTATAGCAAAAAATTGATTTCGAATTCGGGGGGGGGGGGGCCAGGTTAACGCTAGCCCCCCCCAATTGGATTTACTCAGCCAAAAAGCTAGCACAGGTGCAAGATACCTAGCACAACCTAGCACACCATTTTTTAGAGCTAGCACACTCATAGTTTGGCAAAAAATTGCTTTCGAATTCGGAGGGCGTGGTTAAGGCTAGCCCCTCCCCGTTCGATTGGATTTTCTTCGTCAAAATGCTGGTACACATTTAACAAACCTGGCACGTAAAGAGATTTGCTGTTCCTACTCTACGTAGGAATGCAAAGATTGCACTATCGGAATATTCCGGGAATAGCTTCTACATGGGTACAACTCGCCAGTATCCTTGCCTTAGACAAGGAAAGAGAGAGGACGCGTAACATCCTTTAGGGCGAGCATTATAAAACTTCTTTGTGAGTTAACTTAAAGTTAACTTCTGGAATTACATGTAATTCAAAAAGTTAACTTCAAGTTAACTTTCAAAGCAGTTTTATATTACCCGCCCTTACCTGCACTAGCAGCTGGTTGTGACCGTTTGCCACCAAATAATGGCGACAATTTTTCATGGTGTCACTATGTGAATTTTACTTCAGACTAACATTTTTGTGATATTCAGCATGGTGGATTGCTAGCATATGGCTGCAAAACCCGCAGAGAAAAAAAAGTCGACGGGATTACATTTAACAGGCAAAAAACAATATGCTTTCTAGGTTATGTTATGAAAAAAGCAGACATTTTTTGGTGGCAAACTGCTTCATTTTCACCTGCTGTGATACGAGTCCCCTCTCTTTCCTTGCCTAAGATTCTCTTGCTAACTGCTCTTCCTCATTACGAACAGGTGTTTCGTAGACTAAACTTTTCAGTCAATGTCCCGACGGTGCAATCTTTTCATTGAAGTAAATGGTCAACATTTTGAATAATTATTGTAAACCTCAGAGGAAACCATAATTTATTTGTTAATAAAGCAAAATTAATAAGTAGGTAAACAGTGATTTAATTATTGCGAAGAATAAGAGTACCAAACAGTTTTTTTGCTCTGCAGCCCAAATGGATTATTTGCGGACATATGTTTATATAAACAAAAATGCTTGTTTTGATGTTCCTTACTACCCCTCAAAGTTTGTCGGTATCTTTTTGGGACACCCTGATGTATACAAAAATTTCAGGTATTCTACTTTTTCGCCTTGAGTGCGGAAAAGTAATACTTTCATGACCTCAACGTGCGGTAAGGTGCACTTTTCCGCACGCTCGTAGAAAAAAATTATAAAAACAACTGCGATTAGGGATGCCACCTTTGAAAGTAAGTTGAACCGGAGAAAAAAAAACCATTATTGAAAGAAAGCTGAAAAAGAAAATCTGCAGCTCTACAATGCAACAGATGCATTACACTTTACTATCTGTCTATATGTATATACACAAGTCCCCCCTCCCCAGCAACACCGGATGTTGCTTGGGGAAACTTTGCTTGAGGTTGGGAGTTGAGACGGTTGGAGAAAAAGATTCAAGAATATTACACACTAAACAGAATAGCCTATCTTCATAACGACACTACGACCGCTGACGCAAACAGTTAACGACACTGTTGATGACTTCGATAACGGTGCAACACTATAGTCTTGATTCCAAAAATCGAGTCCAATGAGCGGACGTGTAGTAGTGTTTAATATCCTTGAGGGAGATTATGAGGCTTTGAGGTTCGTGGGCTGTCTATTCTATCGCCAAACTGCATGTCGGAGTCGGAGAATTTCTCTATTTCTCCGAGAGAAACCGTATTTGCACAAACAGGATTGCGCGGTTGCTAAATTCTATTTTTCTTTTTTAAATGCGTTTTTTTTTGTGTTAAATGCGGTTTTACCCGGAGAAAACACCTAGTAATCCGGAGACTGAAGACCATGTAAAAACCAGTAGACTCCGGGAGAGGTGGCAACCCTAGCTGCGATTTAATGAAACAACAAACAACCAATAATAATTGGAATAATCAAATCGATCAGATTATTCATTTGATGTTTTCGCGCTCCGAATCTAGAAGCAATTTTTGGCTTCTCCACAGATCTGCAAGCTCTAAAAATTGGTGTTCTAGGTATTTTTCTATCAATGCCAGCATTTTGACGAAGAAAATCCAATCGAACAGGGAGGGGCTAGCGTTAACCACGCCCTCCGAATTCGAAAGCAATTTTTTGTCAAACTATGAGTGTGCTAGCTCTAAAAAATGGTGTTCTAGGTTGTGCTAGGTACAGTGCCTCTATACAAGACAGTGGCGACAATAGCGCCTAAGCTCCGCCCACCCGCCATGTTTTGTCGAACTCATTCAATAATGTATTTGTTCTTCCTTTTCTTTCTGTTCTAATTTTTTCTCACAAAATAGTCAATAACAGGCACAAATAACAAAAACAAAAATATATTAACACAAAATTGCATAAATCTCCATAGAATCAAACTGTAAACACAAATAACTTTCGACAAAACATAGCCGATATTCTGCAGCCAATCAAAAATGAGTCCCTCTATTGTCGCCACTGTCTTCTATAGAGGCACTGTAGTGCTAGGTATCTTGCACCTGTGCTAGCATTTTGAGTTGACTGAGTAAATCCAACCGGAGGGAGCTAGCGTTAGCCTGCCCCCTCCCCCCGAATTGGAAATAAATTTTTTGCTAAACTATGGGTGTGCTAGCTCTAAAAAATGGTGTGCTAGGTTGTGCTAGGTATCTTGCACCTGTGCTAGCATTTTGGGTGAGTAAATCCAACCAGGGGGGGCTAGCGTTAACCTGGCCCCCCCCGAATTCGAAATCATTTTTTTGCTAAACTATGGGTGTGCTAGCTTTAAAAAATGGTGTGCTAGGTTGTGCTAGGTATCTTGCACCTGTGCTAGCATTTTGGCTGAGTAAATCCAACCAGGGGGGGCTAGCGTTAACCTGGCCCCCCCCCGAATTCGAAATCATTTTTTTGCTAAACTATGGGTGTGCTAGCGTTAAAAATTGGTGTGCTAGGTTGTGCTAGCTACATTTTACCTGTGCCAGCATTTTGGCAACGGAAATCAATTCGGGGGGGGCCAGCTTAACGGAGCTCTCTATTACTTTATGTTGCTATTCTCCATCTGTATTCTTTGTGATAATAATCGGAAGGTCCGGCCCACAACGGTAAGTCTGGTGAATGCGCGCGCCGTTTAGTGGCCGTATGCCTATAATTTAGTTTTACGCGCGGGTAGGGATGGTAATGATATATCGATGTTTTGTAGAAATCAAAATATTATGTATGTGAGAAAGCTTTAGGGACTTGTTATCCTTTGGTACTGATCCTTATGTTATCCTTTTTACCTGGTCGATTACCCCTGTTTGTTTAAATAAAGTCGCCTAGATAGACCCTATGGCGTGAAGTGAGTGACCCTGTCTTTTATGTTTTGATAAAAAAAATTCAAGAATCTTCATTTTTATTTGAGACAATAATTAGTGCCGGTACTTTTGCTCTCATTTGACAGCCGTTAAAAATAATCAGGTGTTTGAATGTGCTGTAACGACATCATACATAGACCTTGGCCCATGCAAAACTTTGACGACGTATCAAATTCGTTAATCGAGAGCAAAAATATTGGCCCTTCCCTAATAACACAGTAACATCGCAGAAACATTCCAGAAACATCCATCAGGGATAATGAAGACGTCCCTGGGAGGTCCCTATTTTCCTGGGGACATCCCTGGGATGTTGCAGGCAACAGCGGTGTCATCATTTGCGATGTCCTATAAACATCTCTCAGGGATGTTTCTAAGATGACGCGGGATGTACCTAATACATCCGGGGCAGGTGTAAGAAACATCCCCTATATGTTTCTAGTATGACTTTAATAGGTGAATGAATTTTAGGATTATGGATTAAAAATTACCTAATTCAATAATTTTCAATTTTCGTTCTATTTTCTGGAAGTCAGATAGAACTTTTTCCAAAAAAAAAACAAAAATTGAAAATTATAAAATTAAGTAGGCACATCAGTTTCCAATAACATTTTTTATTGAAAAAATAAGGTACATGCATACTTATATTGATTATCTATCAACTAATAATAACCGACGGACAATTTTGCCTAAATAATGTAGTATAATAAGTTCGGGTTTTTAGGGGCTATTTATCAGAAAAGTTAGAAATTTCCTAACCGACGCCATATTGAAATTAAATAAACTAAACAATTGATTGTTATGCGACGTTATCTTTCAACAAATAATCTTTCTCACCAACTAATAAGCACTGGTAGGTCGCAGAGATCCTTTCGAACACAAAATGGCACAACTAGGTGTAGCGAAAGACCACAAATTGACAAATCCTCCACACAGCACGACGCCATTACGAAATAAAATTCCGCCCAACAACACAAGCGAAGCACACAGAACAACCCGTTCGACTGATTCTGCCCGTCTGCGCTGGCTGCGGCGCCGACGTGGCCGCGTGCAGAGGTACAAGTACAAATGCCCGAGCACGCGCCTGCGCCATACACTTCGGCTTCACGAATATTCACGATGTTTGAAAGTTGAAAAGAGAGAAGACTTTTATCAATACATATTTTATTTTATTCCAAGTTGAATGAAAAATTAAATTTTGCTGTTGTTACAATACAAAATTAATATTAAGTTCCTTATCTATATACATTACAGGTATATTATGGAATTTGAAATTAGTTTGTGTGTGTGCTAGAGACATTTTCAGAAATCACACAAAATTGGCAAATTTAATACTGGGTCCTACCGGTCTGAGGTCCTACCTAGTTTTGTAAAATAATGTTAGCCATTTTTTAGCTGTAATACTTAAGTATCTAATTTTGAGAACAAAAAATCTTTTTGTCGATAGATATTTTCGAAAGGACGTTTCTAAAACATTTCAGGACAATCATCCTAGAGATGTTACATTACAAACATCGCAGCGATGTACCATTTATGTCGGAAACATAAGGACCTTAATGGTACATAAATAGGATGTTTCTGGGAGATCGGTGTTATTAGGGTTAGGGCCAAATTATGGACCAACTGGTAAGTGTTTGGTTCTTACCTAGCAGGTACTTTCTATTCTCTAGTGCATAGAAAGTACCTGCTAGGTAACAACCAGACGTTTACCAGTCAGTCCAGAATTTGGGCCTTAGGCAACCAATATGGCCGTTCAGGTCAAATTGTGGTGACGTTCATAAAAAAAGCATTTCTGTTCAGGGCCCTTGTTGTAGATACCAAACATGACAATATGACAATGCCAATGTCAAACCTAAATGTCCAGAATGTGACAAAATAATAATATTTTATTGATTTCTGTCAATAACCATGTAAACAACACAGTATCTGACCTGAACTTCCATATTGAATTTCGTTTGACAGGTCATGAGATTGCCTAATAATTTTTATTTGTAACACATAATTACATGCATCATAGTTTACATAAATATTATATTAAGTTAGTTGTAGTGGTTGTATGCACTATGCACAAAGCCAACCAAACCCAAAAAAAAAAAAAATTCATAAACTATATCGATATATTTTAATCGATATTATACTTTCGATATATCGAAAAAATATCGATATATCTAATAATCTTTTCAATATATCGAAACTTTTATAATAATAGGCCTGTTCGCACAGCAATCACAAACCAGTCAGAGCGAATTTCATTGGTTGAAAACAATCAAAAACAGTCAGAAAACTAGTTTCAACCAATGAGATTCACTCTGACTGGTTTGTGATTTCTCTGAGAACAGACCTAATAGTTCATTGGTTGACAGTGACACTCTGACAGTTGATAGAGGCGGCTAGAATGAAACAAAACGTCAGTTAGGGCCTGTGCGTAGCAATTAAATGAGAAATGGGGAAAAGAGATTTTCCGCATGATTAAGGAACGTTATTTTTTCACGACCGTGCGGAGAAGTACTTTTCCGCACGCATTTCAAGACATGAAAGTACCAGGGTGACTTAACATTGCATAATTATTTTACTTTTCTGCACTAGTGCCTAAATGCGTGCAGAAAAAAGCACTTCTCGCACGCCCGTAGGAAAAATTCGAGCTTCACCCTCCCCCTATAGGCAAATTTATAAAGTTATTCTGCACCCATGAGGACTTTCAAAAGTCGGCGCGCGCCTCTGTCAGCTCATCAGCAATTTGGTAGGTATAAATGAAGAATAATTTTGCGTAATTATTAACCATTGCTGAGCAGGAGCAGGGAGCAGGCAAGTGTGAAAGGACGCAAAGAAAATAAGCAAATAAAGCTAAACTAGGATTTTATTTACATTTTGTTACCTTAAATAAATTCAGTTATACCTACATTAAACTAGCTTTGTGGTTATTTCTTTGCACTTTTCCAGATCTATTATTACCAAATTACCGCTAAACAATTGTTTTATATACATTTTACCACCATGAGTAATTCAGTTCAAACATTTGTAGTCATCTTTTCAGTCGTTTCCTTCGCCTCCTCAAAACCTCCACCTCCCACCAACAAGCTTCGCACCTGCTCCACGCTCCGCCCTTTTGTCTCAGGCACCAATAGAATCACAAATCCAGTCGCCACGCCGCAAATCAGACTAAAGATTAAAAAGGCCGGGCCTAATCCGAGCGCTTCCTTTGCGCCGTTAAACTGATTTGTCACCACGAACGCTAACAGCCAATTGCTAGCGGCAGCTATGGAGCTGGCCACGCCCTTGACGGCTGGAGGGAACAGTTCGCTCATTAACATCCAAGGGATTGGTCCGAAGCCGAGAGAGAAGGCGATAATAAAGAGAGCGAGGCTGACCAATGGAACCCAAGTGTAAGAGGTAACGCCCGCATGCGTGTAGAGACCCAAGGCGGCGAGTGAGATGCACATTATAGATGCGGATAAGATCAGGAGGATTTTGCGGCCGGACTTGTCAATCAGGGCGGTGGATGCTAACGTAGCAACGACTTGAACAGTTCCGACTAAGATACTGCAGTGGCCGGGCGACAGGGCGGCGCCGCTCTTTTCGAAAATCGAGTTGGTGTAGAACAGGACGGCGTTGATGCCGCTCAGCTGCTGGAAGGCCATCAAACCAAGACTAATAATCAGCGCTTTTCTGGTCGCTTTGCAGCTGACGAGGTCACTCAACCCTGCCTCGTTGAGGCGTGCCTCTTTAATGTCGTCTGTTATTTTCAAAAGTTCATCTTCTACGTCGTAATCCCTACCTACAAAAAAAAAATGTAAAGGTTTTCAAAACAGATAAAGATTAAATAACTACCTCTGAACCATATAAGGCTGTTTTGGGCTTTATGCATTTGAGATATTTCGCACAAGTATACCGGGGATTCTGGTATGAAAGCGGAGCTTAGGAGAAAAACTAATGGCACTACCGCACACACCAGAGAAAGGGATCTCAAATCCGGAAGAAGATCACCTGAAACGATGGATATTCATGAGGTCGACGTCTAATGATGGTTATCTATCTTGTTTAGTGTCATGAATCAATTACAAGTTACATGAAGATTATTTACCGAAAACGTAAGTCATCAGAAGTCCCACAGTAATCTGCACCTGGAAGAAGGTACCGAGCGTGCCGCGAATTGAAATGTGTGCCAATTCTGCCACATAAAGAGGGGCGGCAACGCTTACACCGCCCATTGATAAGCCCGCCATAAATCGACCCAGGTAGACTATCGATAAGTTGTGACTGAAAATGAAAAAATATATATATAAATTATGAATCCAATTCAGTCCAGTAGCACGTTTTATCTACGACTAATAAGTTACCTTAACTTTGTTTATTTGACTTATTTCTACTTAGAGCTCGTCTACTTACTAAAAATATGCCAATAGGAACCATGAAACAATCAGAGGTAGCATCAGTAGCTGTAAAGTGCGCTTTCGGCCGATCCAGTGAGCCAAGGGACCGGTAGGGAAAGCACCTGCGAACCCACCTAGGGCTAAAATGGAACCGATCCAAGCCTCTTGCGATGTCGTCACTCCAATTTCTCTTTGAAACACTGGAATGGCGGATGAGGACCAGGAACAGGTCATCCCGACGCCTACTGCGGTTAGGGTACCTGGAAAATATTTTTACAGTTAGGTATAAGTCGATATATTGTTGATTAATTTGATGTATTTTTTATGTTTAAAATTTTGAGACCTTTTAAATGCCATCGATTTTAAGTTAAGAACTTTCCCAACAACAACATTACGTAGAACAAAGTTTGTTAGTGAGAATATCTAGTCAACTTTGGCTTCATCGACGGTCGTTCATATTCACTATATCAAAATGGCTTCTCGAAGTCAATTTGCCACAGTTACCTACCAGAAGTGATCTTGTTACCCACCAGAGCTGATCTGGTTCTGAAAAGGTCCATTGGAGACTGAAATACAGGGTGCAACGTGGTGCACACGTATAGGTAGCGTGGACTTGAAGGGTAAGGCGACCCTGAAGAGAAGTGCAGCTGATGCTCCCCTGGGTAACGAGACCCTGAGAAGAGAAATGTGAACCAAAAGGACCCAAATGGATCTCAATACCATTGGTTTTTATATCCATTTTCTGTAAATATTAGTTTACGCGTTGACCTGCTTAAACTGCTGATTGTTGATAAACCATGTTCTAGTTTTAATTTAATTAGGTGTTTGATATACAGAGTGGTTTTTATTTCTAGACAAATTGAGATTATGATAAAGAAAAATGAAGTGTTACAATTTCTGATCTATTAGTAACAAGACCTACTCTTTCCACTTGGACTGGATAGAGGTGTTTCTCATAGCTTTTTTCATTACGTTGCATTAATATTTTAAAGTGAAAATGAGAAATATTTGTAGTTATTGAAAAGAGTTGAAAAAAAAATCGTGTAATTAGGTAGGTACCTACTCAAATTGTCACAAATTATCGGTCAGTGAACTTGTTGTTTTACTTATCAAAGAAAACTAATTTACGTACCTAAATAATAACAAAATAACATAAAAAACATATTTGTTTATTTTTAACAAGAAGTTCATATAAATAAACCTGAATAATCTTAATCTAAAAAATAGCATTCAAAACCACTTTTATTCAAATACCCGTCTTATGAGATTTTTTAGGATTAGTGAAAATTACTTATTTTGCTTTATCGTAGGTATATCTCGCTTTTTCTTGGAGAAATCTCAAATTTACAATATTTTAGCTAGGAGCGCCTTATTTCTGTTAAATTAACAATTTTTTTCAGTTTTTTGCAAGAAACTTGAACAAAAATCAAAGTTCCCTAGAATAAGAGGGACCAAATTCGATTCTAGAGCGATTTCTAGCTTTCCGAATACATGATTTCCAAGCATCCACTTTTATTGAGGTTCTGAATTGAGAATAGTCGGATTTTTATTATACAGGGTGAATCTGAAAGTGAGGTTTTTTTTTTAACCGGGTATATACAGGGTGTCCGGAAAGTCAACGATAATACTGAAAGGGCTGATGGAACAACTTATTAGCATCCAGAAAAACATAATATGACCTTAGTAAAAAATCGATGGTTTTCGAGATAATAATGTCACTTTAATAAAATTCGTTAAAATGGTCCTCTTGGATCAGATTTTCGAGTGTCACATTAAAATTTTCACTATTTTCAGATTCTCCATTCAGTTTTGCAATGGTAAATAAACATTTCATTTGTCATAGAACGACATTAAAAGTCAAAGTTGAAAACATTTACTAAAAAATATTTTTAAACTGAAGTATCAGGAGTATTCATTTTAAAAAGATTTTTTAGTAAATGTTTTCAACTTTGACTTTTAATGTTGTTCTATGACAAATGAAATGTTTACTCACCATTGCAAAACTGAATAGAGAATCTGAAAATAATGAAAATTTTAATGTGACACTCGAAAATCTGATCCAACAAGACCATTTTAACGAATTTTATTAAAGTGACATTATCCCGAAAACCATCGATTTTTTACTAAGGTCATATTATGTTTTTCTGGATGCTAATGAGTTGTTCCATCAGCTCTTTCGGTATTATCGTTGACTTTCCGGACACCCTGTATATCTCGCCAAAATAAGTTGTTTGGCAAAAAATTGTTTATATAAAAAATTTAAGATAACGGAGGTACAGGTATTTTAGGGCTTTGTGCATTAAAAATCTAATTTCAATAATAATCTAAGATTTAGTAGAAAAAATGATAAAAGTTATCACAAAAATTGTTCAAAATTATCCCTATTTATCAGATGCTTCATTTCCCTCCTAAATTTTGTCTGTTTCACTTTAAAACGAAAATTGATAGGTTGGAAATGAAAATTTTTCTGATAGAATAATGCAACTTTGAGTACATATTATGGAATAAGACTCATTATGCTGGACTAATAATGGCTTTTTTGCGACTTTTTTTTGAGAAATTGTAAACAAAATGATTTATAGTGGAAGTCTTCTTCAACCTCAAAATACCTGTACCTCCGTTATCTTAAATTTTTTATATAAACAATTTTCTGTCAAACAACTTATTTTGGTGAGATATACATCCTGTTGAAAAAAAAGCCTCACTTTCAGATTCACCCTGTATAGGTAATTGCAAAGTAGAAATGTTTGGGGAAGCTACTTACCGACAAAAGAGGCAACAAATTGCGGTCTTTTTTCGGGCAGTTCATCGACTCCATTTGCTGTCATAAGAACTGTCCTCGAATTCTCCGGCAAAAACAACGGACGCGTCATGATTTTTTTGGATTTTGGACACTAAAATACACTATAAAATTAATTAAAGAGTTTTTACTTGAGAAAAATCACTTCAAATGTGTTAAATCGCAATAGGCGACTGCTTTGACTCCTCTTCTCTAAAGGTGACTTGCTTCTTTTCCTCGTTATCATCTGGGTCTGGGTCAAGGTGAAAGGTTATATTTGATTATGATAATATTTAGGCGCCGATCGAGCCTTCTTTTAATTAATATAATGACGTAGAAAGATAACTACATAAAAACATAATATTTTTGTCTAATAAGTCTTTTATGTTAGATTTTATCAGTCTTTTGAATACAACCCATTCATATTATCTTTGGAGAATGAAAACATTTCGAAACATGGAAAAAAGGTTTTATTCGCAAAACCTTTCTATACCTACCTACATGAAATGCAAATTAAGAAGCTTATTTTTCGTACAAAATTCAATTACTTCACCGTATCATCGTATTTTTAGTAACCAAAAAGAGTTTATAGAATAATTCAATGATTGTAGAATCAGAGCCTTTGGTGATGATTGAATATTTTCAATGAAATAGTCCAGCTGAAAATTAATTTTTCTACGACTGCTCTAGAAAACTGTTAAAAACGCACTGATACCTGAAAAATCAATTATTTCGAACAGACGTGCAGTAAAGTACTCTCCGTCTGGCCATTCGAGTCGACTAGATTTTTCATAAACATTCTAATTCATTAATCCCTTCGCAGAACTATCTCCAAGTTCCCTTTCTGGATTTTCTTAAGGGTATATTAATTGTATCTACTCTGTTAGGGCTGTCATGAAGTTTTCCCAGTCTCCAGTAGTTTTAGCTTTATTGAACGACTTTCTGGCCTTTGCTTTTAGGCCGCTTAATTCCCATCCACCAAGGACAGTCCAAGGCACGTCCCTATGGACTACCTTTCGTTTTACGGGTCAGATAGTCAGATGTTTTCTTTCATAGGCGCTTCCTTAGATTGCGCTTCTGATTGAATTGATTAGACTATGTGAGGCAGCCCCTAAGCTCCTCGTAGAGAGACAGTGTCAATTCGATGGTCTTTGGGAGACCCAATTTGTCAGAGACGTGCCAGTTTGTTACTGTATGTGTACCTATGTGTTATGAATGGATCAGGGTTTGGACCTCTTTTCTTTTCTGATCACGATCACATCAATGAATGTGGTTTGCTGCCCTTGTTGATTATGTCTATTTTGTTAGAGTTTAAAAATTCAAAAAGGTATTCACACCGTGTATTTGTATCGGTGCTACCCCATCCTTTTTGATGGTTTAAGTTTTAGTCGACATGTCTCAGTCTCTGTCCTTACACCATTGTATGAGACGTTGCGTCATCTCTAATTTGGTGGTGTTCCATTTACGTCCCCTGGGCGCGTTCAGATTGAAGAGTCCGGACGACGTCCAGTGAAGAGCGCACCCGATAGAGAGCGCACTCCGAGTGTGCCCGGGTAGTGCCCGGCGATTCGCCCAATCTGAACGGCCAAGACGCATTCTTTCTTCATAACCTCAATGATTCTAACATTTATGCCGTTTTCTTCATAATTTTTTAAATACTAACTATGGAAGAAGCCAGAGTATCTTCATATTTAAAGAGTTATTGAATGATGAGGACGCTTAATCTTCAGACGACGAGGATTTGCTAGTGTCAGTGATTGCTATCAATTTAGCATCACAAACTAAACAAAAAAAAAGAAAGAGGCCACCTTTTTTTTAAATAGAGTTGATGAGGATAACGAAGAATTTAGATAAACCCACCATTACTCGCAAAAATAATTATTTACAATATTTGCCTCTATTATTTAAGGTTAGAACACAAACGCGCATGCGGGGCAAATTTTATCTTGCTATTTTATGGGATGCAAAAGTGTGCGCCCGGGCGTCGTCCGGTAAAAATCTACTGACAATCTGAACGGCTGGGTAAATTTTACCCAAAGCAATCTGAACGGTCGGAACGCGCTCGGGCGACACCCGACGTTCAATCTGAACGCAGCCCTGGTATTGCTTGATCGACTGTATCTGTCCATACTAGTGCTGTGACGTCACCTGCATTCCGGGCTTTCAAGATGGCTGCCGATACGGATGATTGATTGTTCAGTTTGTGCTGACCTAAGGTGCTGACAATTTTATCGTAAATTCCAAGTTTATAAAGTTTTATAAGTGTAATTTAAAGTTTCATTTAATGTGTGTAAGCATAAAAGACTCATGGCTAAAAATAATCGCAGAAACCCCAAACATTTTGTGGTTTTGTAATACTGGATTTGTTGCATCAGGACAAAGCTTTCTTTTATTAGTGTGAATCGTGTGTATTGCTCTTGCTCAGTTTTCTACTGTTAGTATTTCCTAGTCAAGTATTTGTTTTGTTTTTTTTTCTGCATTTAAAGTGTGTTTTTTTTTATAAATAATTCCTCAAGTCAAAAATTTAGTAACTCTGTTGGCAACACAAGCCTTTTCTACATAAAAAATTTGAAAGCATTGACAATTTTACATTGTATTGCCAACATAATGTCATTTTGACTTTTATCTTTAAAAAAAAACAGACTAATAATTACTTACCGTGCGTTCGGTATTTTGATCTGAGTTCTCCAAGCTTGAATTTACCGTTTATTTGATGGTGCGTACGATAAGTCCGAACTATTGACACTTTTTACCCTGACCCGTCATTATGTCGCACTTTTTACACCATTCATACCGTTTAGCGTTCATTTTCCAGTGTAGTTTAGATGGTTGCGTTCCAAAACATAACTGCACCGCACTAACGCTAACCGGTTCAGAAAAATCGTACGCACCATGAAAAGTGTACTCGGTGCAGGCTCATATTCGCGTTCGTTTATTAAAATTTCTGGCACTCTGATACAGCGTTCAACTGCTCTGTTCGCTCTGTAGTCGATTCTCGAATTTGGTAGAAGTGAATGTTCCCCTAAGAGAAGTGAGAGATCACATCGCACGCTCGTTCTCTTGGTGCCAAAGTTGGTATTCTCGAACGTATGGGATTATGATAGAAATAGAGAAAACATGTCGAATCATAATGCGTTGTTGCCAACAGTAATATGTAGAATTAACTACAATTAGTGTCTTAAAAGGACGAATGTCATGAGAAAGAAGAAAATCAGTTTGTTTTATTCGTTTTATTTGTGTTTTGGGTCGTATGTGGAAAATGAATTTGGAAAAATCAAGATGTTCACCTATAAATCATTTAGCTAAAACCCTTCATATCCTTCAAAAGAGTGGCGACAGTGGCGTGTGGCCAGCACAACGAAATAATATACTCAAAAAGAAATGCTCATTGAATTTTTAAGGCAAAATGAGAAACTTCAAAGTGGAAAATTTACCTCCGATTTTACCACAGTTTTTAATGATGAAGTTCTAGTTAGAGCCTGTATAAAAGGTGTCAATAAATCAATTATATTTCGACCAGGATCATTGCTTAATCTAAATAGTTTTATAAATTTATTATCCGTTAAATCAAAGGGATTTTCTCTTCTGTAAAATCTCCTTATAGACCGTCCGTCAGCTAATGACATGTTTTGCTGACCGATTTTCTCTCTTCGGGGATTTCAACCACTGAAAAGTATGTCAGTGCTGAGCTCAAAAAATGCAAATTTAGCGGCCGGACGTCTGCTAGGCATATGGAAAATTAATTTTCCTCTTGCAGAAAAAAATAGGTTATTTTTTCAATTTCTCTTTCATGGCATTTTAACACATTAACATTGTAGAACAGTCTAATAGTGAAAAACCAAAGCCATAAGGTTTGCACGTACTGAAAGGGTTGAAATAAGGGCGCGACAATCAAATTTGATATCGGTAGGAACCAGAAAAAAAATTCCCATAAGCCGGTCAGCTATTGAGGTATATGTTACGGCCGCTGCAAAACGAAAGAACATTTTCCATATGCCTAGCAGACGTTCGGTCGTTAAATTTTAATTTTTTGAGCTCAGCACTGACATAATTTTCAGTGGTTGAAATCCCCGAAGAGAGAAAATCGGTCAGCAAAATATGTCATTAGCTGGCGGTCTATTATAGGCCTTTCTTCTTGCTTCTTGTAGATCATTCAGTACAAGAATTCTTCCTATAACCCCTTCTTCCATGGTTTCCCACGTTTTCGTATTGGACCATATTTTCCACAATATGCAAATGTACCCAATTGGCAATTACTGATAAATGATTTGCAAAACAAACAAGAAAATACCATGAATGATGACTGTAGAATTGACAAAAAGCGCATGATTGACGTTTGGTTCTCTCGAGAACAGACGTTCTCTTCAAAAAAAGTAGTAGAATGAAATTCTCTCAACTTTCATAGGAAGTGAACGGTCCCCAATTTCGAGAATACATCGTAATAGATTTTAATAGAAACCACACGTACTTTTCCTATGAGAACAGGGATCACACGATTGGAGAATCGCCGTCCTGGTCGCGTGATTACGGCTCCGCTCAACACGCTTTGCTCTTTGAGCAAAATAACGAACGACGAACGCAAGGTTAGTTGTAAGTTTCCGCGTTTACTATGTAAACGCATGGGAAATATGGGAAACTTGCAGTGTTTTTCTGGATTATTGACACAACTTCCAGCTTTACGGGGGTGACATGGGGGGTTTGTAGCTTTGGGGGTTGATGGAGAGAAACTCGCTCAGGTTATATAAAAATATAGATAGGTAGGTATATATTTTTCCAAATATGCCCTTACATGTACGCTAATCCTGTAAGATGCATGACCCTTCGAACATTGGGGTCCTTATAGAGAGCCACACGTCAACGCTGCTTGAGGAACTGTAGATTAGTTATCGTCGCCCTTATGCCTTGTCCAGAGGGGCTTTCCCAACGAGGGGTAATTGCACTGGACAACGATAAGGCTGAAGATACCCCGAGGGGCTTTCCCAACGAGAGGTACTTGCACTAGTTTAAGTCTGCCTTTGCTGCGGCTTGCAGCGCAATTTATATTAATTTATTGCTGAATTGCAATAAACATTCGATCGAATCGGCAATTAAATTAATAAGGTTGAATACCGACCGGGTCCTCCTTTCCTTAGCAGCTAGTTGACATATGCCCCCCTCCATGAAGCATTGGACCCCAATGCTTGGAAGAGACATGTACAACAAAATATATACAAATACCATAATAATGTCAAAAAATACAATAATATCCTATCCTAAAAATATCCCTTCTTTACAATAATAGCCTAATTATAAAATATCCCTGATGCTTAACAATTATATAAACCAAATATCGCGTATAGAGAAAAAAAAATTAAAAATTAAAATTAACAAAAGTTTTTTTATGGTGGGATGGATGAGGTTGCATTATTATTCAGGTTACTACAAAAAAAAATAGCTTACAACTAAGAAATTTCATCAACTTCACCGCTTCAGCCATGGGTTTTTTCTTTTGGTCCGGTCCTGTTTTCTGTATTGTGTCCAAATACTTCTTGGTAGGTCAGCTGTTCTCTGCTTCACTGCTTCCAATTTCCTCTTCAATTTTATCTTCGTCGTCTTTATCCTCATCAACTTTAGATTCTGCGTTTTCAGCTATATCTATCTCATCTGCCCTTTCTTCAATAGGCGCA